TTTCTCGTTAAACATAAGTTTGTGATTTTTTCTAACTGTAATAATTACTTCACGAATATAACATGAACGCCTTTTTATATAATGTTTTTTAACCACCCAGTAATCTTAAACGTTTAACAAAATATCAGTGGCGTGGCTGCAGGAGGGGGGGTGCAGTCCGCATCGAGTGGCACTTTTGGACCGAGGTGAGTTTTCAGAAAAGGAAAAAAAAAACAATAGCTTAATTTCAATAAATTTTGCAAAAAGAAGCAACGATAAGGAAGAAGATAGGTTTCATATGAAGCCAATTTGTCTTTGATATAAATGGCTCAAAGCCAGTCAGCGAGCAATAAAAAAAAAATATCTACAAAACGCGCTGTCAGCTGGTGGGGGTAAACCCCACTTGTAAGACGCGAGCAAAAGGTGTGAAATAAATTTGATTATTTTTAAAGGGCTCTATGTGGGGTTGGATTAAGTGAATTTAGTGATTCCACAGTTTTTTTCACACCTATGTGAGAAGTCCAGACTTTGCCGTCAGTTCTTTAATTTTGATTTTTCATGTCTGTGATCTGTTAGTGAAATAAAAAAGTATATATATATATATATATATATATATTAAAGTATCAAGCTCTGTTTCATCCTCAAGCGAAAAAATTTTGAGAGGATGAAACAGAGCTTTATACTTAAATTCAATTTAATTTCAATAATTATATTGATGTTTTTGGCTCCTGTTTTTGAAACATGAGAACTCTTATGTAGCGAAGGAATAATATTTTTAAAAGATAATTATATATATATAGTGTAACCCGGAAATAAGAGAGTTGTCGGGACCAGTAGAAGTCTCTTATATCCGGGTTTGGTCTATTTTATATACATTAACACAGGCTCTAATTTGGGACCAGAGAAAATCTCTCTTATATCCGGGTTTCTATTATACCCGGGTCTCTTATATCCGGGTTACACTATATATATATATATATATATATATATATATATATATATATAATGATTTTTTTTTTTAAATTTGAGATTATTTCTTATTTCTGTAAACTTTATTTTTGCTAGCTACACGTGTTTGAAATGTTACTAAAGAATAATTGTGTCTTCTGACAGGAATCGAACCTGTATCCATTTTTTTCCATTAGAGAAACCGCTTCTATAGCCGAAATGTGCCTTAAATTACAAAATCCCAAACTGAAGCTAGCAGATATGGATTCGTAGAAGTCCAAACGAGAGATGCCTATTCCTTAAATAGGGAATTCAAACTTTGCTCTATCAAATTGGTAGCGGTAAAATTCGGCTCCAGAAGCGGTTTCCCCGATTAACAAGGAATACAGGTTCGAGCCTTGTCGGGGTCAGGACGGTAGGATTTTTCTTTAATAGAACTTCCCGATTTCATGGTTTAGGAAAATAATATAAAACAGGGCTAAGCAAGTCAAACACGTGTTCCCGCTAAAAAATAACGTTTAGTACGCGTATGTACGTATACTCAACAGGACTTACTGAAAGTCCACGGCCGACTCACTTCCCAAACTCAGTATATCAATGACGAAACATCATAAAACTGATTTGGGAAGTAAAAAAACAGAGAACTTTTTTTATCGCCACTTCTATATATATATATATATATATATATATATATATATATATATATATATATATATATATATAATTATACTAGTATATATATATATATATATATATATATATATATATATATATATATATATATATAAGTATAATTGGTATATACGGAATGAATTCCAATAACCAACAATTACTATTCTTGAAAGAGTGCTCAATACAAAGTAGAGCAGATATAATTATTATTTATAAAAAATTATAACATTACTATATTATAAAATATTACATGGCTATATTGTCCTCATAGCCATGATTATTTTTGTAGTGATTTTATAACATACTTATATTCTAATTTTTTTATAAATAATAATTATATATATATATATATATATATATATATATATATATATATATATATATATATATATATGTTTTGTATGTATGAAGAAATATAGTCTTAATCTTATAGTCTTATGCTATATTTATGGGATAAAGTGCTCAATATCAGAGATAGAGCGTGTAAATATAAAAGTGTGCATTGAAGTCAACACTTAGAGGCGACAGTCTGGTTCATGCTAGACGCAATCGTCAGGCCACGAAAGTGAACATTGAAGTCAACACTTAGAGGCGACAGTCTGTTTCATGCTAGACGCAATCGTCCGGCCACGAAAGTGAACATTGAAGTCAACACTTAGAGGCGACAGTTGTTTCATGTTAGATGCAATCGTCAGGCCACAGTGGCCTGACGATTGCGTCTAGCATGAAACAGACTGTCGCCTCTAAGTGTTGAATTCCATGTTCACTTTTATTTCGAGATTAAGATAGTTACGCGTAACATCCAGCCAGTTTTGTTGAAGGCGTTGTTGGGTGAACCAAGAAAACGCTTCAATATTTCGACCGATTCTCAGAATGTTTTACGATTTCTAAACGATAAAATTTCGCTGGCCGACTGCCGTAATGTGTGATGGTTTAGCAAATTCAACTTGCAGACCGTGAATTCATTCATTACTGATTTTGCCCTTCGGTGTGGCAATGCGCCAGATCTGGCGAGGTTAACTAAATATCTACTTATATAAATATTTATAAAAAGTAGTCAAATAACACTGAGAAATAAACTATTCCACTTTTAATGGGAAAAACTTCCAGTTGAACAAAATGCATGACTGGCAAGAAGCCAACTTCAAAATAGGATGAGCCTTTCAAATTAGTTCCAAATCTTTTCAAATGTTCTATTGATCTCTACTCACTTAAAATGCTGAATGGCTTTCAAGCGAGTCTTCTTAAGGGAACAAATCATGTCACCATCTTTTTTTTCTTCTCCTTTTTATTGGCTGTTTCTTTTCTCTGGGTCATCGCTTGACCAAGTTTTTTTTTTTTTTTCTTTCTTTCTTTCAGTTTATCGATAGCGAAAACGAGACTAAAAAAGAGTAACATAGCCAAAATCAAGTCAGCTGACTTTTCTCACTAGGTATTTACTCCGTCTCCCCACTAAGATGAGTTGTGACACAAGGTTAATTTTTAAGGTGGGGCACCCGAGCGCGTACACCCGGACCAGGAACAAAAATTACACGCTGACCTCGGTGCGAGCACCGATCCCTCTCTCTGATGCAATGAGAGGGCGCGGCATCCAGCAGCTGTTCCCCAGGGCTGGGCACTGATTTTTCTCACTATGACGACCACTGGAAATAAATGCTTAGACATTCAAAGAAGCAAGGATTAATGCTAAATTTCTTTCCATTTTTTTTTTTTTTTTTTTTCAGGGTCAATAATTTCTTCACATTTCCCAGATCGATGTTCAATCATCAATAGCAAGTATCTGTACTTTGATTTCAGAATCAATTTTTTTTTCCTTTTTAGTTTTAAATGTCTTATTGTTTTCAATATTTCTTGGAGATCTCAAACTTTCAAATATAAGGCGCATCATATTTCATTTTGTTTGGTTTCTTAAACTGCTTCTCTATCGTAATAAGACAAAAGTCGTAAAAGCACAGAAGTTGCAAAATATGAAATATTTGGTTTCAACATTGTTTTCCAGGAGAAATGAAATATAATGCAAACTAGATTCTCGAATGACTCACATGTCGAACAGAAAATTCAAGATGAAAATGCCTCGGTTATCGAACAAAATTTCGGTTCTCGAACAACATTACCGACCGAGTTAACCCGAACGGAATAATTTCTGAGTCGACCGCTGTATTGTATACATTCGTCTGTCGTGGCGTGCTTTTCTTTTCCAATTTTATTGTACTATGACTTTTTTCTCTACATTTATTCCTATTGGAAAAAATAGTTTCGGTTTACGAACATTTCGGGTTACAAATTAAATTCGTGACTGATTTTCCAATGTATGATGAAAATTGTCAAATCTGTCTTGTATCGTGCAAATAAGTACCCTTTTGATTTCTTCGATCTATTTGTGAATTTAAAACACTGTTTACAATCATTATCAGAGTATTATGTAGTTAGGACACATATAAGTACAGTGGAACCTCGGTTCACGAATTTAATTCGTTCCTGAAGACCGTTCGTAACCCGAAATGTTCGTAAACCGAAACTATTTTTTCAATAGGTATCAATGTAAAGAAAAAAGTCATAGTACAATAAAATCGAGGGAAAAAAATCACGCCACAACAGACGAATGTATACAACATGGCGGTCGACTAAGAAATTATTCCGTTCGGGTTAACTCGGTCGGTAATGTTGTTCGAGAATCGAAATTTTGTTCGATAACCGAGGCATTTTCATCTTGAATTTTCTGTTCGGAAACCGATTTGTTCGATATGTGAGACGTTCGAGAACCGAGGTTGCACTGTACTGATAGTCGACGGCCCCTGGGTACATTTTTAGCCCATGTGATGCTTCAACTTCGCATATAGAATCCCAATGATATTGTTACAGTCATTTTTTTTTTTTTGGTAGGGGGGGGGTCTTATATTTCATTAAAGACGGCAACGAAAACAATTATTCTTCTTGACTTCGATCATTTAAATTTCTATAAGTTAATATACGTAATGATAAAACCCATGAGTGCCCGTATGCACGTGTGAGTGTGTGCGTGTATGCATGAGTGTGTATGAGTGTGCATGTATGTGTGGTTGACTGAATATGTATATGTACATGGTTGTAGAGAATCATGATTTCTATTTTATGTTTACTTGATTATGAACAGCATTGGTGGATCATGAAGATGAAAGACACTAAGGATCAGATTGGTGAAGCTCGATATCACACAGATAATTGTCTTTCTCTGATTGACTGAAACAAAAGACATTAATTTTTAACGATGCGTCAATTTATTCATGATTTTCGGTCTGTAGAGAAGTGCTGCACTTGCATTAGAGATTTTTCTTCTTTTCTTATCAAACAACAGCCGAGGCCATCAAGTGCGTCGGAATTTATGGCTCAGTCAATTTAACGTCAGTGGTTTTCTTAAAAGATCAGAAAGAAGAAAAGAAAATATGGTAAGGAAGGAAGGAAGGAAGGAAGGAAGGAAGGAAGGAAGGAAAAATATGAACAAAGAAAAGAAGGAAGCAAGGAAAGAAAAAAGAAAAAAGAAAAAAGAAAAGGTAGGCAGAAAAGGAAGCAAGCAAAAAATGAAGCAAAGAAAGAAAGAAAAAGAAAAAAGAAAACGGAAAAAGAAGAAAATGAAGGAAGGAAAGAAGAATGGGTGGGAAGAAGAAAAAAGGAAAGGGAAATAGAAAGGGAAGAAAGAGAAAAGGAAGGAAGGGAGGAAGGGATGAAAGAAAGAAAGTAAAAAGAAAGGAAGACAGAAAAGAAGAAAGAAAAATAAAGGGAGGAAAGAGAGAAGAAAGGAAAGAAATAAAAAAAGGAAAGGGAAACGGAAAAGAAAGAAAGGAAAAAATAAAGGAAGGAAGGAAGGAAGGACGGACGGACGGACGGACGGAAGGAAGGAAGGAAGGAAGGAAGGAAGGAAGGAAGGAAGGAAGGAAGGAAGGAATGCGAAAAAATAAAAGAAGGAACGAAGGAAGGAAGACAGAAAAGGAAGAAAGAAAAATAAAGGAAGGAAATAGAAGAAAGGGGGGGTTGGAGAGAAAAAAGGAAAGGAAGACGGAAAAGGAGGGAAGAAAGGCGAGAAAGAAAGAAGGAAAGACAGAAAATGAAGACAGAAGGAAGGAAGGAAGGAAGGAAGGAAGGAAGGAAGGAAGGAAGGAAGGAAGGAAGGAAGGAAGGAAGGAAAAGGAAGGAAGAAAAATAAAGGAAGGAAGGAAGACGGAAAAGGAAGAAAGAAAAATAAAGAAAGGAAAGAGAGAGGGAAGGAAGAAAGAAAAATAAAGGAAGGAAGGAAGGAAGGAAGACGAAAAAATGGAGGAAGGGACGAAGAAAGGAAGGAGAGAAAATGAAGACAGAAAAAAATGAAGGAAGGAAGGAAGGAATGCGAAAAAATAAAAGAAGGAACGAAGGAAGGAAGACAGAAAAGGAAAAAAAATAAAGGAAGGAAATAGAAGAAAGGGAGGTAAGAGAGAAAAAAGGAAAGGAAGACGGAAAAGGAAGGAAGAATAGAGAGAAAGAAGGAAGGAAAGACAGAAAATGAAGACAGAAGGAAGGAAGGAAGTAAGGAAGGAAGGAAGGAAGTAAGTAAGTAAGGAAGGAAGGAAGGAAGGAAGGAAGGAAAGAAGGAAGTCAGGAAAGTAAGACAGAAAAGAAAGAAAGAAAATAAAAAGAAAGAAAGAAAGAAAGAAAGAAAGAAAAGGAAAGAAAAAATTAGGGAAGGAAAGAGAAAAGGATGGAAGGAAAAGTGACTTTGAAAATACTTTTTTTTCTTTTACTAAATTTTGTTAAGTTTCTTGCGATATCAGTTTTTGAGTATCCATAAATTTGTCAAAAAATGAATCGTTCTAATATCCTCACCCGCTCTCCACTTAGATAATCGACTCGGACTTTTATCTTGAAGTGTTTCTTTAGATTCTCTATAATGCCCCCACACCCACCCCAATCTTACCTCCCTACTCTGCACCTAAATCAACCGTTTTCATTCACACTCATTGAATTTCATTCTTTATTTCCCACTTAACACTTTTCTTTTTATCTTTACCTCTCTTCAATTACACATTCTCTTTTTCTCCTTCATCTGTTTACTACCTATCTTCCAATTACACTCTCTCTCATTTTTTTGGTTTCTCTCTCTGTCTTTCTCACAGTCTCTCTCTCTCTCTCTCTCTCTCTCTCACACACACACACGCATACACACACACAACATTTCTCTCCCTTATCTGCTTTCCCCCTATCTCCCAATTACTCTTTCCTCATTTATACTTTCTCTGATTCCCTTATCTGTCTCTCGATATCTCTCGATATCTCTCAATCGCTCTTTCTCTCTCTCTCTTTCTCTTTATTACAACATCTCTCTCTCTCCATTTCCCAAGTACGTTCTGACACCTTTACTCTCCCCTTTATTTCTATCTATCTCCGAATTTCTCTCTCTCTCTTCACTTACACCCACTTTCTCTGTTTTATATGTCTATCTCTATCTGCCTTTCATAATCCTATCACTCTATATCTTAATGAGCAACATTAAAACAGACTCTCCTAATATTCCTTCTTTAATCTATTTTAAATCACTGTTAGATTAAGTTTGGCAAAAATAAATTTCACTTTCTTTTAGTCGCTGCTTTCAGTCGAGAAAATGGGTCAAGATTAAAGAGATTGCAAATTTCTTTTCTTAATTTTTTTTTTTCGTTTTTTTTTTTTTAACGACCAAAATAACTGAAAACAGCCGACACTTTTCTTATCTTCCCTGGCTTGTCTCTTCAATTGTCGCCTATCTTTGACACAATTTCCCGGGTTTTCAGCAAAAGACCACGTCTTACATTTTTCTTCTTTTTTGAGAATTTTTCTCGCACTTATCCCCAATGTTCGTTTGTCTTATTTATAACGTTGTAAGTCAACAACAGTCGGTACTTTTCGTCATTAGTCGTTAACTTTCGTCACATGCTAATGATTACATTTGCAATGGCGACAGTTTCTTTTTTATGAGTTTATGAGTGGTATTTCGTCATTTATAGACATTCTTATTTATACACACACACACACAGATATATATATATATATATATATATATATATATAGAGAGAGAGAGAGAGAGAGAGAGAGAGAGACAGACAGACAGACAGAGGCAGACAGAGTCTTGTTATAGTTTTGGGTTAATTTTGTAAAAAATTTCATTTCTGTTGACTTTTGTCGCGAAATGTGTCAGTTGCCTTGGAATTCTCAGTTGCTTGCGAAATTTATCGGAAGATTTTTCCACACCATCGATACTCGATGCCACTTTCCGTCTCGAGATGTCTTCTCTTTATTCCAATATTTTAAGTCTTTCTCTCGTTCGTAATTTCATTTGCGGCTTTATTGATGGTTTTAAAATATGAAGGAAATATTTTCTTTTTAAATTAATTAATTAATTAATAAATTAATTAATTAATTAAAACGGAACATTTTTATATTTTACGTCCGCCATCAGATAAACTTTAGAACTGAAAATAGACGTCTTGAAATCGTTTGAATTATTGTGTTGAAGGACCTGTGAGTCTGTGAGTGTGTTGTTGTATCAGAAACACCTGTCTAACTCCTGGTAGAATATTAAAAGAAAATTGTCGGACTCAAGTTAAGTCCAACTAAAGATGTAAAGAAGACAAACAAGACCGATATATATATATATATATATATATATATATATATATATATATATATATATATAGAGAGAGAGAGAGAGAGAGATAGATAGATAGATAGATAGATAGATAATATTAGTGGTAAATATACACATACATATGCAAAATATATAAATATATATACATACATGCATACACATACATATATGTTTTGTATAAAAAAAATTCCAAGAGGATAGAATCCAGGTAGAACTCAATGTCCAGGACAGAGTAAGGATATAATAAAAAGGCTTAAACACTAATATTCCATGGTCATAATTTATTCCATTGGAGTCGTAAATACGATCCAATTTGTAGGTCTGATGAATTGGATCGTATTTACGATTCCAATGGAATAAATTATGATCATGGAATATTAGTGTTTAAGCCTTTTTATTATATATATATATATATATATTACGATAAACATGCAATCAATTTACAAATTCATGAATTATTCACACAAAAACAAATGCAAAGGTTAATGATTTAATTGGCGAGAAATCCATCGTTTTTGTATATTATTTGAATTGTTTGCGACGATGGATTTCTCGCCAATTAAATCATTAACCTTTGCATTTGTTTTTGTGTGAATAATTCATGAATATATATATATATATATATAAAACAAATACAGTGTAACCCGGATATAAGAGAGTTGTCGGGACCGGAGAAGTCTCTTATACCCGGGTTTCTCTTATATCCGGGTTTGGTCTATTTTATATACATTAACACAGGCTCTAATTTGGGACCAGAGAACATCTCTCTTATATCCGGGTTTCTCTTATATCCGGGTTTCTCTTATATCCGGGTGTCTTATATCCGGGTTACACTGTATATATATATATATATATATATAAACAAATACAGTGTAACCCGGATATAAGAGAGTTGTCGGGACCGGAGAAGTCTCTTATACCCGGGTTTCTCTTATATCCGGGTTTGGTCTATTTTATATACATTAACACAGGCTCTAATTTGGGACCAGAGAACATCTCTCTTATATCCGGGTTTCTCTTATATCCGGGTTACACTGTATAGGTATTAAACGAAACAATTTTACAATGGGCATAGACAATAATATTTGTGTGTGTGTGAACGTTTGTCTGTTCTTTGGTGAATGTTCGTATTTTGGTGAATGTTCGTACGTACGAATATGTGTGTATAATGTTCATGGCGTCTCCCACAAAGGGGAAGACGCGGATCTTCTAAGAGAGCATACATTGTAGTCGCTGAAATTAAAAAAATGAAAAAGATTTACCTCACATCCACGCGTGGTGGGACGCGGCACGGGGGCCGGAAGGAAAGAGAACGAGGTAAGGAAGTGGCCCAGTATTTATAGTATAGGGAGAGTGACCCCTAGTGACGATTTGGGAATTAAGGACGAGGCAACACTGACAATTACTTCACATAATTTGGACAGTTACCAGATTGAACGAAATTGATCTCTTCTAATTGATACCCAAATAAATAGAATTTGTTGTGTGTGTGTGTGTGTGTTTGTGTGTGTATGTGTGTGTGTGTGAGTGAAAGTATATGTGTGTGTGTGCGTGTACTGTGTATGTATGTGTGAGGAAGTTCTCGGGTCTACTTACTTCTTGAAATTTGACCAGAATATATTTTGTAATGTATTCCTGGTCAGTCATGCGTGATACACGCTTAAGCGATCATGTACTGACATGACTGACGAGGCAGATTTTTTTTTTACTGCGGTAGACTTGTTGCCAGCCAAGACTATAGAACTCAGTCTCTCCTGCTATTTACCCATAGTTTGCGGTGGGGATTCATACCTTTCCCAAAGGGGATTTATTATCACGTAAGTGTATGTAATGGATTCGAATGGAATTCGAACTCGGCTCGCCGATTCATCAATCCGAGCCACTATCCGTTCCTCTTCCTTCCTGGTCAGGCTTATAACTATTCTGTTCCCTGTCATATATACGGTGCATGCTGCCTAAACCCATAAACAAATTATTCCATAAATTATTGGCCTGGTTTATAGATGATAGATTATTTACACGTGGTCGATGTTCAAAACTGGGTGGAAGTCAGGATTGGTAAATTGTACAGCAGCCAGGTTCTCTCCTAAGATAAAACATAACTTTCCACACGCGCACCCAAATGAGAACTAATAGATAAGAGTCCATAGGAACACCTGCTCTTCAAAAGGTGAATGTATCAAAAGTCATTCTTCGTTCGTTTGTTTAAAAGCCAATCAGGAACAAAAATAGATATTAATCATAAAATATCATAAATTATGTTGGAAACCTGACTTTTGACACACATTTCACAAACACATAAATACACAAGTATATATATATATATATATATATATATATATATATATATATATATATATATATATATATATATATATATATATATATATATCAAATTGTGCTGTATTTTGATACATTGAGCTCACTTCATAGATTTATCTTTTAATATATTAAAAAAAGACCTATTTGGATTATCCTTACCACTTACAGATTTTATATTACGATATATATATATATATATATTGAGTCACTGTCAAATTGAGTCACTGTCGAATTGAGTCACTGTCAGTCACTGGGCATGTTTACAAAAAAGTAAATACGCTAAAAATCTACCTCCATTCCTACCGTGCGCCGACGGCTTAGTGGTTAGAAGCTCCGACTGACACCAATTCAGTCGGGTTTCGATCCTAGCTAGAGGCAAACGGATGTCTAGCCGCACTGATGAGCTGTAAACAGCGAAACAGTCTGTCTGTGGATGACATTTTTTTTTTTTTTTTTTTTTTTTTTTTTTTTTTTATATATATATATATATATATATATATATATATATATATATATATATATATATATATATATATATATATATATATATAAATATTTGATTAAATTCAACCGATAAGGTCTCTCTTGTCTTTTTTCCAGTTTTCGAATAAGATTTGATTTTGTATATTGGTGGAAACTGTAGATAAACTCTCCAAGGTTCATGTTTGTTGTTTCGTTCAAGTACTTTCGACCACCTCAGTCATTTTCAAGAACTATGTGGTCTCTCTATAGTAGACAAGATTCTGTTGGCGAAATCCTGGTATTCTTTAGAACGCTGAAAGTTTAAAATAGTCCACTGTGATGTCATGTGTAACGGTTAAGAGGAGCTAGGCCGCGTCAAAAAGATTGTAGCTTCCAAGTTCTGTTGTTTTGAAATAATGTAGGATCCATGTAACCTATGGCTTTCAATCCAATACAATGAACAATTCCCGATACACTTATAAATAATAATAATAATCATAATAATA